TGTCTTTAAGAGAAAGTCTTTGTCCTTCCATGAAAGCTTGTTTGGGGGTTCAAGCAGGGGAACACAGTTACTCATATACTCTTTTTCCATCTTTTTATTTATTGAATCACTGTGAGCTACAGTTACAAAACTTTCATCATTGAGTTTCAGTCATACAATGATCGAACACCCATTCCTCCACCAGTGTACATTTTCCACCACCAATGTCCCCAGTATCCCTCCCCTGCATCATTCCACCCCTCCCCCTGCCTCTATGGCAGACAATTTCCCTCTTAATCTCTCTCTACTTGTGGGTATTAATGGTTTCCAATACAGATATGAGAGGCCATCATGTTTAGCAGACCCTATAAAAGGTAGGGTAGCCAAGGACGATAGAGACAAGGGCCAGGAAGATTGTTTCAAGGTTGGCAGCCTGCCTCAATGAACTGGGGGAGAAGGCAGCTAGGATAGAGAAGGGATCACCAAGTCAATGATGGTTGTAGGGATCACTCGAGGATATGAGATATGTGCTGACTGTGTACTCATATATTCTTGACTGAAGAACAGTCTGGGAAAAGTCATTCTCTTCAACTGAGCACTTGGCTTCAGGAGAGGGACACACTTGAAGTAGTGAGGGAGGAAGGGAACTCCCACTTCGCCAACCAGATCAGCCATATCAACCCTGGCCATCAATGGGGTGACAGCTGTCGCAGCCAGCTTGCCCTATCATGCAGTCCTTGTTCTTCCTGTGCTCCCAAATTGCCTTTCCTTTGGGATCACGCCGGTGACCACTGAATTGTTCAAAGCTAGCAGGCTCAATTCTCTGTCATCTGAGAATTTGTCTTTCCCTCCTCAATTTTGTATGAGAGATAGTACAGCAGGTAGGATGTTTGCCTTGTATACAGCCAACCCGGGTTTGATCCCCAGCACCCCATATGGTCCACTGCTCACTGAGCCAGGGGTACCTGGCTGAGCACCACCAGGTGTGGTCCAAAACCAAAAGCAAACCAAAAAAATGTACTAAAGGATGCCTCTCATCAAGATACTGATTTGGTAAAATGGAAGAGGCAGGCAGCATTTCCCCTTCCCTCTTACATGCGCTCCACTGTTGACCGGGAGAATGGCCAACCATGTGGACTTGTCTGCTTGTCCCATTTCCTGGGGGTCTGGGAGTCAGATGTCGGCCAGGAGTGGTGGGGAGGCTCCCTTCAGAATCTTTGACGGATCTGTGGTACTCAAATGTGTTAACTGTTTAAGGAAAGACAAGTAGTGCCCAAGGAAGAATGATCAATTTATAGGCTCCCACAGACTGTCCACTCAGGACCTTGAACGTAGGGAGCTTTGATCACCTGAGCAACAAACACTTGATGTTCAAAGATCTGGAAGGAAAGGGAAATTTTGTGAAATTGTTCAAAAGTGGGGTGTTTCTTAGGTTTGTGAGGAGCACAGCTTCAGTTTTGCCATATTAAAAGTATAATAAACTCAACTCTGTGCTTAGTGCTTTAGGGCTTGCCAGATCCAACGTGGGACAGTGTGTTATTATTTAATTTTTACTTCTACGCATTCAACGTCCCCTCCCCCAATACCCCCTCCCCGGGCCAGGAGGTGGGAACACCCGCACATGTTTCTGGGGGAGTCGATGGTCTCAAAAATGACTCAGTTCAAGCTCCTGTGTTGACTGCTGAAGCAGGTCCATGTTCTGGGGTAGAGCGGGGGGAGGGGGAAGGAGGCATTCTTGTTTGTGTAGAGCCCCACCCGGCAGTGCTCAGGACTGACTCCTGGCTCCGTGCTCTGGGATCCTGCCTGGCAGGTTGTGGCAAGCGGGTCCACATTCTTTCCCAGGGTTGCCCTGTCTGTGTAAGTACCCTGCCCAGGCTCTCCAGGCTATTTTTATAATCAGTCGGTGTGAAGCCTGTCAACATCTCCCCAGCATAATCATAACATAATCATCACACAGAAAGCCAGTCTGATGAGCCAGTCATCCTTGTGGGGGGGCGGGGGGAAGTGCAGCAGCTCTGGGCACACCCCAGAGTTCTGGACATGTTCTCCACCCACCCAGGCTGCTGAGAAAAGGGCTCTGTCTCGCCAGCTGGGCTGTGTGCGTCTGGCTTGAGGGCTCAGGCCAAGCAGCGGCGGCTTACCTGGCATAGCAGGTGAGCAACAAAAGTAAGTAAGGCTTTGACCATGGCTGGGCTTGAGAGGTTTATATTTGGAGTCAGCAGCCCCGTCAATGCTGCAGGGAGTCTCCTGCCTGCAAACCGACGGTCCTTCCACATCTCTCACACACCAGCGTTTCCCTGTGGAAATCGGGTTTTCATTTTTGTTTTCTCGTTCCTCTTCTTGGTGCTTCGTTCATTGGAGCTCAAGTCCAGGGAGGCTCAGACAGAAAGGTATTTCTGTACCTCCTACCATCGTTCCTAACTTAAGCTCTCATCATCTCCTGCCTCATCGGGTACCACACATTGCTAACGGATGTTCCACTGTGCTCCCACCAAGGTTTCGGTCTGTAATTCAGACTTCCGGTCAGGAATTCAGACTTCCGGTCAGGAATTCACGCATCCATTGCTTCCGCTACGTATGCTCAGCTGCAGTTCCCCACTTCCAGGCAGAGGCTGAGGGGGTCAGCCAGGAGCTGAGAGCAGACAAAATCTCCAGGTGTCTGATTTTTATGTTCTTGTGCTAGCACAGACACATCATCTTCTGAACTGCTTTTTATTGATTTGTTTGTTTGTTTGTTTGTTTGTCAGATTCGGATTGGGAGCGGGGATTCCATTTAAGAGAAAGGAAAGAAGGGGGAGAAAGGCAGAAAACCTCCCAGATAATGGGATGATGGGGCCTCCTGGAGCAGGAGTCTCTGCACTACCTTTGCGTTGCTCCCTCCTCTCCTCCCCGAAGACCCCTTTCTAGTTCTATTCTCAGGAGCTCATTCCTGTCTCTGCAGGGGTGGCCCTGGTAGCTGGCTTGTAAGGGAAGTGACCTGGGGCCCATCTTCTCTCCTCCCTTTACAGGAGCCCCCTGAAAAGTGGTGCATTCGTGCCTCCTTTTGCATCACGCTTCTTCCAAGCAGACTTCCCCGGCCTTTGACATGTCTGTCTGTCTGTCTGTCTGGGTAGTGATGACGTGGCACACCAGGGCCTGTGGGAGCCTACCAACCTCCCAGGCACATTCCAGGAGGTAGGGGGAAGTCCTCTCGTGGCAGTGTTCCAGTCTCTGTCCTCAAGGGTATGTCTACTGAATAAAATAACTATTATGGTCTTCTGTTGTTTTGGAGGGAGGGGTGCATTGGGAGGCCCCCAGCATTACTCAGGCTACTCCTGGCAGTGTGGTCTATACAGTTCAGTGCTTGGGACTGGGTGGGGGACACGGGGGGGGGGGCACCAGAGCTACCCCTGGTGGTGCCAGGGATCAGACTTGGGGCCTCAGATATACAAGACCTGCACACTAGCCCTCAGTGCAATGGCCCAATTTCCTTTTCATCTTTCTTCTGTGGCATAGAGATGGTCACATCCCTGCATTGTTAGATACATTTGTCATCCAACTCCACTTGACATAGTTTGACCCTTCATGAACTCTTCCATAAGTACTATTTGTCTTGTCTCTCATACATGTGTGTGTGATCTGAAAAAAAAAAATCACAAACTTCGTCTGACCTTCCAGGGAAGGAACTGGGACTTATTTCTGCCTCTGTTGTGACCTCCTGGCCCAGGAAGGGGGGAGGCAGGTGTTGAGTGTGTCTACATAGAAGGAATAAGTCAAAAATAAATAATAGCTTCTTCTAACATCAAACAAAAAAGCTTCTGCAAAGAAATCTGCACCTTAGTGGGCATTTAAAACAAATTTTTAAACAAAAAAAAATTCATCTAACAAGGGACTCATCTCCAAACTCTGTCTCAATAGTATAAAGCAAACCAGCTTGTTTTTTTTTTTTTAAATGGGTAGAAGATCTGAAAAGTCATTTCTCCGTAGAAGACACAGAGGTGAGCAGCAGGTGCTTGGAGAGACACTTAGTGTCACCAGTCATCAGGGATGTGCAGAGCCAAGTGACGGTGACTTAGCACCTCACCTGTGAGAGTGAAGACTATCAAAAAGACAAGAGCTGACAAGTGTCAGTGAGGGTGTGAAGAGAGGGAATCCATGTGCCCTGTGGAGTGGAATGGAAGCCAATGCAATGAGAAAGCAGTACATAGGTCCAGTGAGCAGTTTAAGCTAGGATAATCGCCTAGGATCCTGACTTTCCACTTCCGGATGCTTGTGCAAAGGACACGGAAACACAAAAGAAGGAAAAACAGAAGCACCCTCAGTTCACGGCTGCATTACTGACAGTAGCCAGCACATGGATTCAACCCCAGAGACCATGGATGGATGAATCCATAAAGAAGCTGTTGCTTAAATATAAACTGATTCCTGAAATTATTCAGCCATTCCCAGAGAATGAAGTCGCTCGTGCCTCTTAGAAAAGCATGATGAACCCTGAGGACTTTCTGCTAATGCAGAGAAAGAGAAATACCTGGTGATCCCAGTTACACAGAGATCCGAACAAGACAAGACAAAGCTGAACTCACAGTTGTGGAGAAGAAATTGACGTTGGAGGGTGAGGTAGGGGTAGGACAGAGTAAATTAAATGGCTGGAAATGAATGAATTGCCCAAACTTCCGGTGGTCAGTCAAGCTGACAGTAGGCGAACTTGGTACATTTATAGCACATTCAAAAGGTTGCAGGCAAGCAGATCTTCAGAGTTCAAAGCAAATCTGTAATGGGGTGGCTGGTAATGGCTCTTAACCAGACTTCTTGCACTGATCATTATGTTTTCGGTTGAATCGTTATGCTGTTCACAGATCATTCTGTTGCTTTTATCCAATCATCGTGTTGTACACCTATGATGAATATATTGTCCTGTGTCATTACTATCTCAATAAAAAAATTAGGAGAGCACTGTTTCTAGAGACCTGTTACTTGGGCTGGTTTTCCATCTTAAAATCTCTCTTGTTTTTCTTCCCCGCCCCATGTTTCTCTCTTTCCAGGAACTCAGACACAGACTTGGGAATCACTCCAGTTCTCCGGGGACTGCAGCCACAGTGACCACCAGAGATGCGGCGGGTGCCAGAGTGGCCCTGAGCTTGCTCCTCCAGCCTGCAGGCTGCGTGCTGGCCGTGTCTGCAGGCCTGGCTCTGATGGCTCTGCTCTTCGGTTTTTTCTATCCGAGTCTGTAATTAAAACACAACACCATGACGCATCCGGGAAGAAGAGCACATTTCTAATTAAAGTCTGCAGTAAGCAGAGAAGCAGCCGTTATCGGGGTGCAATGGGCAGGAATTTCTGCCGGCCTCCCTGGTGCCCCTTCAACCTCCATCCTTCAATGAGAAGCCCCGGTCTCACCTGGTGTCAGGCCAATCGGGGCTCTCGGACCCAAGTCCCAGTAGCAACTGCCATCCGTTATCTTGCCAATGAAACTCCTTGGGGTTCCTGTTTTTGGGAGCCAGAAACGCAAGTGATTGTGTTTCCTTTCAGTTAGCTCCCTTCTGGATAGAACACATGGTCCCCTTTTCCTGAGGTGGGAAGAATTTTCTAATCTTTCATAAGCATTTTTCGATGTATCTACCCCTTTCTGCTTTGCTAGAGGCCCACGGCAGCAAAAATCTTATATCTCACAGTACATGTGTTCCTTGGAAGTTGATGTGAAACCTTTTTGGGGACCTCGAATCCTTCGGAACACCAGGAGCGAAAGGACTCTTGGCAACATATCAAGACTTGGAAAGAGCCCACAAATTTTGGAAACCTGCCCTGTCTCCAACAAAGGGTTGGTCTTCTCTGACATTTTCCATCAGTTCCATCGTTTGGGTTTTGTTTCTACCTGACATCCTGGGCCTTTACCAGTGAAGGGACTTCTTTACAATAAAAAAAAATTGGTGTGAGAAAGCTTATGACTGTGAACATTTCAGTTAATTCTGTGGGTCATACAGGCATGTAGTGGGGGGACGGATGACATTTGAGTGCCCACCTGTTATTTTCTTTCTTTTCTCTCAACATATTTTCACCTTTCTACCTTGACTTTTACTCTTTTTTTTTAAATTTTATTATTTCATAAAGTATTTCACAATATTTGATGGCATTTAATATTCAAACAGCAATTCCACCACCATGATACCCTCCCACCACCATATTTTGGGTGTTTCCATCCTGAACCCCAATCCCTGACCCAAAGCAGAACAGAAATAATATATTGTGTATTGTTTGTTATAAAAACTGCTGAAAATGCTTCAAAAAAGTATCCTTAGAGGAAAGAGTGTGAAAATTGTCATATTTTACCCAGGGAACATTAAGCCTTTTTAAGAGATCACTAACATGTTGTTAAAGGTTGAGCCTTGTATGCTTTTTTATATATATGTATCCTGTAAAAAAAAGAAATGTATATTTTCCCTCTAAGATTGATTGCCTCCTACTTTGAACCCTATCAAATGTGGTGCCGTAATCTTGGAGTATAGGTAGGATGTGTGGTTTGGCTTGACTTTTTTTTTTTTTTTGCTTTTTGGATTATACCCGGCAGTGCACAGAGTTTACTCCTGGCTCTGCACTCAGGAATTACTCCTGGCGGTGCTCAAGGGACCATATGGGATGCTGGGAATGAAACCCGGGTCGGCTGCATGCAAGGCAAATGCCTTACCTGCTGTGCTATGACTCTATCCCCCTGGCTTGACTTTCAAGGAATCCAAGTGAATACTGTATTTCTTGGTTTCGTGTGTGTTGGGGAGGGGATTTGCCTCAGTGATGCCCATTAAGAAAGTCTGTTGGAGCTCATTTGGGTGGCTATAACAAAACCGAAGAGAGTTGATAAAGTAGAAGTAACACAAAGGTGATTTCTGTTGTGTCTGCAGCAACAGGTTGTGGAACTTGTGAAGTCTATTTCCCACACACGGGTGGAAAACTTTTGGACATGTTACTCATGGCAGACATGGTGAGGGTATACTCTGCCCCCCTTTATTTTTTTTATTGAGGTTCTGTGCTTTACACTATTATTAAGAATAGTTTCTCATGTACATAGACCACACCCATTACCAGTGTGTACCCTCTCCCTCTCCCAGGGACCCCCAACATCCCTCCCTTCCAGCCTATCCCATCCCCCAATTCAGTTGTATGGATCAGTTCTCCCACTGTAATGCCTTTGGCTCTTTGTTGCTACCTTGCTGTGCATCTTTAAGTCTAAGTCTCTTAAAGAGACTTAAAGTCTCTTTAAATCTCACACATGAGAGAGATTATTCTGGATCTGTCTCTTTCCTTCTGACTGAATTTATTCAACATGATATTCTCTAATTTCATCTGTGCCATGGCAAATTATGTGATTTTGTTCTTTCTTAGTGCTACATAGTATTTCGTTGTGTAAACAGAGCATAACTTCTTGATCCATTCATTTGCAGTTGGGCATCTCGATTGCTTCCATATCTTGGCTGTTATACTAAGTCTGCATCCCTTTTATAAGGTCACTAATCCCATACGAGTCTCCACTCTCCTAATTGCCTCCAAAGGGCCCCACCACCAGTACTTCACTCTGAGGTTTTAGTTTAAACCCCTCAAAGGGGGGTGGGGAGGTGTAGACTCTACTAACATTCAGACCACTTCGTGATCTTTTACCAATTTTTAAAAGTTCATATTCGAACAAAACGTGTATGTCATTGTACATAAACCACAGGGGCAGTGTGATGGATTTTCAGAAAATGAACACATTGGAATCATCACCAACAATTCCCAGTTCGCCTTCCCAGCCATTAACTCTGCTCCCCAAAAGGTAGCCACTGTCCTTATTTTTAATACCATAGATTGGATTTCCTGTTTGCAGACTTCATTACAGCATGCATGATTTCAAGTGCCTTTTTCCACCCAGCATTGCTCCTAAGATGCAGCCTGAGTATTTGCATGAAGCAGTCATTCATTGACTTTAGCTCCAGAACAAAATTGCATTGTGCTCATTTGCCACAGGTTTTTCACCCAGTCTACATACACACTGTTACAGGTTTGGCCATGATGAATGACACTTCCATACACACATGTTTTGGTGCACATAGCTCAGCACTGGTATGACAAATAGCAAAAAATTAAATTGAGATGTAATTACCTGCCGAGGGCTTGCTTAGTTGGTTAACTGATCTACCTCTGAGGGTTCTAGAGACAGTTGCTTCATTGCCACGAACACTGCCATTCTCCCCACTACTTCATCTTTCCATAGATTTGACATCCTTCAGTAGGCCTTGGCTGGTTGATTCCCATCCTATTTTTATAGTACCACTGTAGCACTGTCATCCCGTTGTTCATCAGTTTGCTCGAGCAGGCACCAGTAACGTCTCCATTGTGAGACTTATTGTTACTGTTTTTGGCATATTGCATACACCACGAGGAGCTTGCCAGGCTCTGCTGTGCTGGCGGGATACTCTCTATAGCTTGCTGGGCTCTCCGAGAGGGGTGGAGGAATCGAACCCGGTCATCCGCATACCAGGCAAACTTCCTACCCGCTGTGCTGTCGCTCCAGCCCTATTTTAATAGTAACAAGCCTGAACTGGCTTATCGTTAAACAGGGTAGACATTATGATACACATGTCACAAGTTTTAATCCATCCCCAAAAGTCTTCTTTTTAGCTAACCTTGTTCCCATTTTACTGGGGGGTGGGGGTGGGCATATGTAAAACTCATGTTTAAATTATCCATAGGTGGGTTAGAGAGATAGTACAGGGATAGTTTCTACACACGGCCAACCAATCCACAGCAGTACTTATGGTATCCCTCAAGCACTGCCAGGCGTGATCTCTGATCACGGAGTCAGGAGTAGGCCCTGAGCATAGCTTATTGTGATCCCAAACCCAAAATAGCCTGCAAGGAGCACAGAATTCATGAGTTGCAGGGCTGGCTCCTGAAGACAGCCTGTTTCCTGAGCTCTACACCCTCGTGCCCTGTCTACCACCTCCATTTGACCTTGTGCTGTGGATTGAAAACTAGGACACTAGTTGGGAATACCCAATCCACACTACCTGCTGCAAGCCTGTACACAATCTTGGAAAGTATTACGTATTGGTTCTCTTTTGTTGGGGGGCCACATCTGAGAATGCTCAGGGCTTACGACTGGTTCTGCTTTCAAGCGTCACTCTTGGCAGACTTGGAGGACCATATGTGGTGCTTGGGATTGAATTCAGGTTGGCCACCAGCTAGGCAAGTGCCTTAACTGCCTTACAATAACTCTGTTCCTGGAAAGTACTTTTAAGATTTGTATTCCTCAAGTTTCTTCTTCCTCCCTCTCACCTTTCCCCCTCAAATTCTTTGGTTAAAAACTTCCATCACTGGAAAAAGGTGTCGAGACATCAGATATCTACATCAGATTTTGCTCAGTCAAAACATGTTTACCTTTTGACCGCAAGCTGAAAATTTCAGTGGATTATAAAGTTCCTTGGAGAAGGAATCAGATTTACAATGGAAGCTTTGAGAGGTGTTGTCATATAAAACGAACTTAGGGACAACTCGTCCCCCAGCGCCATCTTACAGTACACAGCAACAAAGAAGAAAACTGGTTGCAGGGCCCCAAAGCTCCTGGAGAATGCTCCACGTCCGAAACAGAGCTGATATCACCAGGAGGTCCCAGATGGGGTAGGTGCTGCCATCCCGCCTTCTCCAGATGGAACCCTGGTGATCATGAGCTCCTACAAGCATAGCTCTGGCATACAGGTACCAGGGCATTTTTTCCGAACCACATGGCCACTTATGCGGCTGCGCGACATCTCCTTATATACAAAGTGATCAATGGAAAGTAAATTATCCAACATTTCTCCCTGAAAATCAGGCTTAACTCTTTTGCAAACCACAACACCCAAAAGGAGAGAGAGAACGAAGGGGAATGCCCTGCCACAGAGGCAGGGGGGGATGGGGGGTGGAAGGGATACTAGGATCCGTGGTGGTGGGAAATGGGCACTGGTGGAGGGATGGGCATTTGAAAGAGAAGAAAGAAAGAAAGAAAGAAAGAAAGAAAGAAAGAAAGAAAGAAAGAAAGAAAGGATCATTACATATAAAAAATAATACGAACGTAGGGAAGATTAGGGGGAAGAAGGAAGAAAGAAGAAAAGGGAATAAGGGAAAGATTTTCTTTCTAAAATTATTTTTATTTCCTTGAAAATAAATTTTCTTTTGTTTTAGAGCCATACCTTACAGTGCTCAGGACTTATTCCTGCTGGTTCTGTGCTCAGGGATCACACCTGAGTGGGCTCATGGGACTGTGTGCAGTGCCAGGATTGAACTGAAATTGGCTAAGTGCAAGGCAAGTACCTTACCCTTCCCCCGTGCTATTTCTCTGGCCTGGGGAAGAATATTCTTGACTTGTCTGACCCCTGTGATGTCCCGGGGTGTTAGCAGGGTATATTTTCAACTTGAAAGGAAACGTAATATCAGTCAGACACCAAATGAACTAGCACTTCTCAAAGGAATTACATTTCAACATTCAGTTATATACACACACAATTTTTTTTTTCGCTGACACTGTGTCTTTATAAAATGAGGTTTTCAGCAATTGCCATGATACAAAGCAGGCACTTAGTACTTGAAAGTATTTGAAAAGGTATTTACTCCAAGGTTTAAGTACTTGCTCGGCAGAGACACACATACCATTAATAAATACCTAAGAAATTTTTAGAATGAAATAAAATCGTTTTCCTTTTTGATTTATGAATCAAAAATTCGTGTTCCTGGAATGAGCAGACACCATTGGGCCACACTAGCATGTGACAGGGATGAATGGAGATGTTACTGGCGCATGCTCAAGCAAATTGATGAGTAATGGGATGTCAAGTGATCAAGTGATTTATGAATATTCTTTCTAGTTTTTTTAAACGAAATCATTCAGACCTAGCTACTTAATAAAAAGAACAGTTAGCTGGTGGTCAGTT